TGATACTTTTCAATCTATTTCTATAACTGTTGATCTACGCTTTCGTATTTACGTGTGAATGAAGATATTATATTTTGTTCTTTTTTTCCTTTCTTGATAGATTATTAGGAACATCACATCGTATTACATCATAGTAGTATAGGAGGTAGCATAACTTACAATCTCGCAGTAATACGTAAGAAATACGGTGACGCATAATTTTACATATTTACACAATATGTTTTCATCAGTACAGATTGAAATAAATAAGAAGGCAAAGAGAACAAAAAATTGTAAAAATTTGTAGAATACAATTTCTTTTTCTTATTTATTTACAATTTTTTTCTAAACGCATCTTTTTACTGGCGATGTAAATTGAGGGCAATAACGTAAACAAATGCGATTAACAATCCACAAATGTAAATGTCGCTTTTTATAACGTCGATATTTTGTCTTTCGATTCCGAGCGACGCAGCGGTATGAAATAGAATTGGCAGTAAATTAAATTATCATCCTCCTGATACTGGGTCGCTGTAGATAATAATGGCCACGGATAAATTACGAAGCTACGATCGCGGCACTGGATTATGTGATTATGCAAAACGTACCGCGCGATATCGGAAAATACGCGACGAAATTCTCCATATGCTTCTTCTTCGCGTCAGAAATATTTTACTAGCAATTTTGTTCGGACGTATATTATTTATTGCTACATTTACATACCCCTTGAATCTACATAAATTAGTTTCATCATTTACTGTCAAGTGAACTTTACTGTATTGCCACTTCAATTCAAGGTTTAGTGAACTAGGTTTTTAAAACTTTATCAACTGTACTTAAATTCAATATATTTAATTTTTTTAAATTGAGATTTAAATTAATACAATTAATTAAAAATTTATATAATTATTTGTAGAATAAAACTTTCGACACAATTAAAAAATATTTCAATATTAGGCTGGAATATAAGAAATATTTGTTTAAATAAAATTTTAATGTTTTTACGAAACATCAGCAAAGAACAAGTTTTAACACACAAGCGCGAGAAAATAAGATCATGGAAGAATAAATCGCTTGAAAATAGTGGATTGTCTGTAGATAGATTCGTTAATATTTTCCATCCATCCTCTCACCATGGCATTGTTCAATGCGAAAAAATGCACTACGATAAATTAATCGTCAGTAGACCGCGGTGTGAAAAAAGGTGGATAGAACGGAAACCGTAGAAACCGCGCGCGCGATGCGGTCGATTTGACACACCTCGAGACGAAACTTCATTTGTTCTCATTCGAGTTCGCGCGTAGCGATACGTATGTAGCACAATGCTTCAAAACTGCGGACTATAGCAATTACTGGCAGCAAGAGCGCGTCTATTCAGCCTCGTCGCAACGAGTTAAGCGACACCGACCTCGCTGTGTAAAGTTTCTTTGATGTTACCCCGAAATAACTTTTGCACATGTACATACATGTCTATTCTATGTGTGCTTGTAGATTCGGATCTGCGAGGGTGGATATACGCTGTCCGCGCGCCCACGGAAATTCGCAAAGCACGACCGCGAGAGGCAAATGGGAAAGCCCTAAGAAAAATGCATCGACGAGATCGGAAACGAAGAGACTTGTCTCTCGCTTGTTCTGCAACGTATTTGGCCTCGGTTCTTGATGCGAATTCAATACCATCAGAACAAGAACAACCATTGCCATTCTGTGTGAGTAGCTGCGAGAAAAAAGAAAACATTGTGGCAAAGACAGATGAATGAGATTGAAGGATAAATCGGATTAAAGCTACAAACTCTCGTGCAATTCAAAAGAAGTGTAGCGATTAGACGTTAAAATAATTCTTTGCAACTAGGAGAATATATTATTCTGAGATAAAGTTTCACATGAAGGATGAATCAAGTTTTATCCTATAAAAATATGCTGAGAGAGTGAATTTTCGGTGTAAAACTTGATTCCCTGAACCTTCATGAGCTTATCATGTAAGAAATTCTTCCTTTTATCTCATAGTTTTGTAGGATATTGGTTGTTCTCGCGTACCAGAGTATCGAATTAATCTCTGGCCTTTGAATTTATTCTTGTATAATATTACGAAGTTACGTCTCGCGCGTTTGACTTTTATATAATTTTGCTACAAAAGCGTAGCTACAAACTGAGAAAATTAATACCACTACTTCGCGCATGCTCCTTCCTTAACGTGACAAGATTTTAATTAGTTTATATAACAATGGGATATTAAATTGTCGCGCAGGTAAATGTGGATTCTCGAGACAGATAATTAAGCTTTTTTTATTTATACACAAAGAAGTGTAATACACTTCCTAAAAACTGCAAAATTTAGCGTTGTGATGTACAAACTTTTAATTAACAACGTTTTAAAATATTTTATAAAATTTATTTTTTTCAAATAGATTTTTTTTCTATAATGTCATCTCTCCGTTAAAATTTTCGATATGCGGTTTTCGCGATTGAGATAAAATGTTCCGTGCAATTAATATATGTGATGACTTATAATATAATACTGTAAAGTACGCGTGCAACAATAATTCTCTTGCTGCGTGTGAAATGATATTATCTTAATAAGCGAATAGCGTCTATGGAAATAAAGTGACAAAAATGCAGATATTAAATTATGAACGAAAATATGTATAGTATGCGCCTCATTATTCTCGTCGTCGAACGTGGTATTAAAACGAGGAAGGTTGCCGAATATGCATAAAAAAAAAGTTTCTCTTCGCTAAGGAACGAGAATCGCCCTCGCGCTATCAGTAATTGTTAATTTTTCTTCCGTTGATAAAATTAAATCTTGATCAAACTGATTAGCTTATGTCACGACGAGGAGTTACGGCTGTTTGCACTGTCGAATGACACGCGTTTTGTGGACGCTGGTGATTTCATGGAGCGCGCAGCTGACACGTGGTCCACGTGGCGACGCTCGCCGGTATTTACGGAGGAACGTTTTTTTCAATGTATTTTACGACACTTTGGACGGGTAAACGGGCGGACGCGGCAAATGACGAAAAATGACAATAATTCGGCGCGGCTGCGTCGCCGTGCAGTTGCACTGACGCGCGACGGTGCGAAAACCGTTGGCAACGGTTCGCGTTTCCTCTCGCGGAGGTGGCGGAAAAAAGCGAGGAAAAAAATCACGAGATAGACACGTGTGAAATCGAAGGAAAAGTGTTACCACCCCCCGGACGATTCGCGTGATGGAAACGTGTTTCGAAAGCTTTGTTTCGTTGCTAGCCGCGAAATCGAGTTTCATTCGAGTGCTCGTTTCTATATCTTTTTTGTTGTATATAATAACGAAATAGATTAAAGTTTTATGTAGTTAGAGAGAAAAAGTAAAATCACAGACGTTCGATAGATTCCTACGAAATAAAAAACAATAATGATGATACAAAATAAACAAGCATCGTTATTTTTGCCCTTATTTACGATATTCTGATATCATATAATAAATAAGAATATTGTGGCAAGTTTTTTCCTGTTAATATCTCATCGATAATACTTGACATCGATAATTATTGATTATCAAATTGATTTTCTCATGAAAAACTGCACTCAATGAGAAATTACGATTCTATTAAGAGAAAAGGTAGTAGAGATTTACACACACCGACGTCAATCTTGCTTAGGCAGCTATTAGTCAGACATGCTTCATTAGCGGGAATAATTAATGACGCCGTCACCTCGGTGCAAGGATAATAAAGCGTCTCAAACTTTCTTTGATGTGCATGTATAATCCAGGTAGGAGAAGAAAAAAACATCGTTAATGCTCAGCTGTGCCGCGATAGTCTATCCTATCTTATCATTGCTCAGACTTTGACAGAAACGGAGAAAATTTACTTAGTCGTACTTATTGATTAACCATCATAAACGAAGTTGCCCATTAATTACTATACTCGTTTTCCTGGATACATTATATGTGAATGTATTTACGAAAACTTAGTGCTTCACTCTCTTTAGTCTTCTGAACGTTGATTTATATATATATATATACGTTGTGATCGACTTTCATTACGTTTCGAGCGAGCCATCAGCATCGTTAACAGTCATATATTTCATGTAGGTTTAATAATTCTGGCTTTACTTTGTATTTTACTATTAGTTTTAAAAAATTCACATTGGAATTATATTACACAGTAAATCGGACAGTTTGATGAATACGTTGCTGTAAAAATTATGTATGGTTCGTTCAACTCAATAATTCATGTAAATGTGCAATATTCAGTTATCACGTATATTTTTTAAAAAGAATTTTTATTTGTTTTTATGATTATTATGCAATAAATCGAGAAATTTGATGAACAAGTCGTTAACAAGTCGAGAGATGTAATAGTCGCGATTGACCAGCTTATTCATGCGAACAAAGATTAACCAAGTTTTGTAAAAGTTTTGTGAGACTACTTTGTGAAAGTTTTAATATATTAGAAGGAGTTTAGGATATTTTATATTCAGAGAATTTTTTATACCCATGAGGATCTAAAACAAGGATCAAAACGCGCATACAAATTTTTTTAATAAAATTGATTTAATGTACACTTGAACAATTTGTGTTAGCTTTGCTAGGCATTATTCTTTCATTCAGACTCGTTTAATTGTGCTCGTGGATTAAAGAGCCCTCCCTTTTTTCGGGAGTCAGGGTCGACTTAAATCCTCTACATAGAAGTCGTAGAGTCCACGATCGTGGAGTCTTAAGTCGTAGGGAATCAACTAATTACAATCAAATATAAAGAGAATACTCGATTAGAATTGGTCAGTTTCCTACGACTTAAGACTCTACGACCGTCTACGACTTCTATGTAGAGGACCCTTTACTGTACGCCGGAAAGTCTCTCTTTTCATCCGTTCTTTTCGTCCGACATCAATGAAGTTTGTATCTGGCGCACGTGGCGCGTGTGTATCCAGGTTGAGTTAGTGACGGGCGGGCTGTCGCCAGTATGTGCCAGCTGTTTCACTACTAGCCATCCTTCCTACACCTTCCTTCACGACGCCGCGCCGTCTTCGGTTCTCGGTCACCACCACCGACGCTACTACCTCCGGCTGGTCTGAGCTTTAACAATCTTGTGTGACGCTGAGGAACCTTTGCTCGTGCGCGGCAGCTGTGACGTCGTTCGGCATATCATCGAAATATTATCTTGGTAAATTTTCAGTTACAAAGCTCTGCCTCCCTTCTCGTGCCATGTTTCTTCATCATTCCATTCTTTGATTTTTGATTGAGAATAGTGTGATATATTTTACAAAAAAAAAAAAAGAAAATTTTTGAAGAAAACATAATCTTCCTATGCAATAAAATTTAGATTTTTTTTTAAGAGAAAAAGAGAGATTCAAATCGTTTTCAGTCTGCTGATTCTTTTAATCATTCCTGCAAAGTCGTATCAATACTTTACTTTGGTAAGTAATATTTAATTGTAAAATACTCAGAAAGTTAAAGCATAAGCATGGTTAAAGAGTTTAATAGTTCATACGAGTGATGTACAACCTGCAGGTTGTATGCCTGCGGCTTACTTGTGAATTTTTAGCCCGCCGACTCATAATTGAAAATATAAAAATGCATGATAAAATCATATTTTCTATTTTATGCAAACGAAATATACATTATATGACTGGAAAGACTGTTATGTTTCTAAAAATGAACCTCTGAAAATTAGTAAAAAAATTTGTGCATCACTAGTTTATACGATCCATTTTAATATTTCATATTCAAATTGAACTTTAAATGTCGGTACTGTCTACTTTAAATATTAGAATTAAAAATACTAATAAACGGCATTGACATTAGACAAAACATTTCATGTACTAATAGCATATATTTAAGATAAAATAGCGTTTTATCTTAAATAAATTTTTTAATATAATAGTATTTTAATTTAAAGTTTAATTTAGAACATATTTATATATTATTTATTATACGTTGAAAATTAACAAAAATTATGAAAAGAAATTCGTCTGTGAACAAACTTTTGTTGAGTAAAATTTAATTAAATTTAATGCAAGGTCTGAGACACTCAATATGTTTTCATAACTTTCGTATGAATTTTTGTAATATGCATTATGCTTTCATATAACGATAGATATTTTCCGATGAAAAGTTTTATTGTTCTATTCTCTTTCATTGTAAAACTTTAAAAATAAACGTCAAAAGTCCAAAAATCTTGACGTTTTGCTTGTAACAATATATCAATTAAGTATTATAATACTTATTATATATTTGAGTTATCAAAACTGAATTTATTATTCATTACTAGACTTACATCAGAATACGGCAAAAATTGATTATTCCAAATAAGTTCGTCCAATTTTTTTTTAAACATACGATGTTCGTGAAGTATCGTGTCTTATTTTGTAGATGCGACAGGATCGAAGAAATAATACCTAATGATCATAATTAAACAGTTCCTTTGAAAGTAGCAACGCATAATTATAACGGCCAATATTACACAACCTGGACGATATAAAAACTTCACTTCTTTTACCCGTACTCTCACCCCTTACGGGTACAACTTTTCCCTTTAAATTTTATCTTTATTACACGGTGGATGCGCAACCGATTGTGCATAAAGTCCTCTTTTTTTACTCTCATAATTTACTTACAATGTAACGTTTCTTCAAGCAAACGGTATTAAAAATTTTGGAAATGAGAAGTTAAAAAGGGTCGACTTTTACTTAAAAAGGTGTAAATAAAAGAAATAATGTAGATTTTGACTTTCTAGGTATGATAAAATTATTTAAAAAATTCATAATTCTTGGGAAATATCTCGAAAATTAGACACATACATAGTGTATTTGTCCTTTTATAGTGTTCTTGTTCAATTTTCGAGTTAAATTCCCTAAATTTCACAAATTTTTAAATAATTTTATCGTATCCAGGAGGTTTCTACAAAAAAGGTTATGTCTTTTATTATCACCTTTTTGGACAAAAATTAGTCCTTTTTTACATCCTCCTTTATTTATTGATTGGCGCAATACACAATTTTCGCTTTGCGTTTATTGTTTTATAGATGAAAATATAAAATTGAAAATTTATAAAGCATTTAATTATTTATTTATAAAGCATTTAATAATCAATTAAAAATATAATCTAATTGTAAGTATACCCGTAAAAATTATTTCCCGATCCAATGTATCATAAAACAGAATCGATATAGGGACAATCATATTTATTTATGAATAACAGAAGAATATTTTATTCTTAAATAAAAAATGTTTTAATCTAATAACATGATCTTGGACCAGTTTTATGCCAAGTACTATGATGTCATCGTGCTATTATAATATTGGGTAATTATTCTGAATGTAAAATATATAAACTTAAATTTATATACATTATTCTTGTTTCGAGGCAATAAATCAATCTTATTTAATTTGAGAGAGAATAGAAATTACTAATCTAATCTTAGTTTTATTTTTATACTGAGGTTGCGATATGTGTCAAATATATAATATATTTTATCTCGTTATCAGAAATCGTTTAAGAGAGTTATAAACATTTTCTGCTTTTGTAAAGTATTTAAAGAAATACTGATAAATTTTTTTAAGCAATTTTGACTTTTACGGAAACATGAAAAAAGACAATATAAATATATTATCTTAATAAATATGACATAATAAATATGACATATAATATAAATATTCTACAATATAACTGTACATACAATATATTGTATATACAATATAATAATGACAATATAAATATATTGTTTAATGTATTTTTTCTGCTTTTTAGTTTTTCGTTTATTATTCATTTTGGAATACAAATCAGAAGTCTTTCTTTTAACAGCTATATGCTCTTTAGTCATCTCTTTCTTTCTCTTTCTTCCTTTCTCGTGTTCCATGTCCGCTCACTCTCACCTATTACTACTGAGCTTGAGGAATTTGCTGGGATCCAGAACTGGCTCTTTGTCGTCTCGCGCTTAATTTCGGGGATTCGTTTTATTACAAACATGGCGTTGTATACGCGCGACTCGTCGTTTTCGGAGTAGCGACACCATCGTTTTGGAGGTTTACGACAATTTTCGGTACACTCTCTTAAACCGAGCGGGGGAGGAAGCAAATGGCCATAATAAGCTCGTCGCTGATTCCCGCGGAGCACAGCTCGGACTCTGCGGTTTGCATAAGAGCCTCCGGCTATGTCGGGATGAGTTAAGGGACATCCCTGGACTCCGAGGATTTGAGTTGATGTGTAAGAAAGGGCTGCTTCGCCTAATTAACAAACTGCCAGTGCATGCGACACTGGACATGCTACGCGTTAAGTTCTAATGCACTACGATTGTGAACGTAGGCAACGATATAAATTGCGTATTCCGCAGTCTGTTATCGTTACGAACTGTGAGGTAAAGTGTGGTAGGTGGGGCACGATTGTAAGACGACGCGATAATTCTACCTATTACCATAGATTGCAAGAAGAGACTCGAATTAAGCCCTCCGCAAAGTATAAATTCCTTCTGTAATACAAAACATTGGAATTTCAAAATGGTTTTGTAATGCGCGGAATACGTTTGATATCGTTGCAGTGAAGGAATATGTTATTTCAATTCTCTATATTCTTAAGATTTAGCAATTATAGTCTCCTTTCGAATGTATAGTGCTCAATTATTAAGCGAGATTTACATTCGAACTTGAGCACTGCTTAAGGAGGTTTACTCGCGGATTAACGGTAGACGAAAATATCGGGTTACGACAAATGTTTACATGCAGTACGCTCCACCGGTGGGTATGTAAATCCCACGTTTCCGACTACAGCTCAATGCTGGCAATATTACGATCTCAATCTCGACGAGATCTTCCGGTTTTATGGCGCGCTACTCTCGTATCCATACACGCAGACGAGATATCGATTGTAATAGCATACACGAAGGATACGCGGAATCCCGAGTGCAATTACGCTATTTATCGTTTCATCGCGATTATTGCCTTATGATATGATTCGAAAATTGATCGTTCTCGCTGTAATCTCGATATAAAGCTGAAGAAATCGCGAAAGTCAGTCATGAAAATTTTTTTTTTCTTTAATGAAAATACTGTTTCTCGCATATTCACTCGTCTGCCAGAATTACATTAGGATCTGCCAAAGGCATGAAGAGGAAAATAAATTGAGATGTCAGGATAAGATTGCTAATACAGGACGAGATGGAAATCATCGTGGAAAATCAAAGATAGGTACCTTAGAACAGTCACTGTGTTTTCTTACGAAATCTAGAATGAATGGCTAGGAATGAAACCTGCCATGTTCATTTATGCATATATCTCACAGATTGCTAGCATTTCACATTTCGTTAACCTGCATCAACGTTCGATGCTTTTAATTGGAGTATTGTGTGTCAAACAATTAATGGCGTCGTAATTTTGCATTCTCGCTAATGATTTATTCACCACGGTCCTCTATGGTTCGTTTTTTTATCCGTCGCCTATAAAATTATGTACGTATTTTTAATGTTCAAATTTTAGATAGATTTATTTAAATATGTCAAATTTTAGATAGATTTATTTAAATAAAAGATTTTTCGATATAATGTTGCAAGCGCTCATTTTCTTAAATATCATAATATCTAAAACGTATAATTTGAATAGCGTATAGTTAATTTAAATGTAAAAAAATAAATTATTGTATTTCTATATCATATCACATAAAAATGTTATTTATAAATGCATATTATTGTACTAATTTTAGAATTAGAACAATCTTTGTGAAAACATCGTATTCAAAATTATGTATTTGTAATATTTTTCTAAAAATTTTCTAAAAAATATATTATTTTATTATTTTTTGAAAGATTAATTACTACATTAATTTTAGATAATGGCGATATGTATTAAATGTTCTTGGAGAGTATGCTTTTAGATATATATATATATATATAAAAAAAAATTGAAGAGACAAGAACGGCAGAGTATACTGATAGTATTTTTTGACAGTTTTTCTTTTTGCATATTTCAATGACGGTTTTTCTTTGCCAGCAGTTAGTATCGAATTTCACGCGAAAAACTATATCCCACGCACCAGATTGTCTCCGATACTTACTGTCAGCGAAATTTCTATGTATAAACAATATAGATTATATTTCTGCTAATACGAAATAAATGCATAGAAGTATCAAAATAA